TGAAGAGAAACATCAAGCTCAAAACGACACACAACTAAACACCACGTCAAAAGGTCGACTAACTTGTTTCAAATGCACCGTTTGTTCGAAACAATTTAGCAAGAAACTGTTATTCGTTCAACATCGACAAACGCATGCCAAGGCAGAATTTAGTTCGAGAAAATAGTTTTTTGGGTTTAATCACACGGATTCTGTATGTATATATAATAATTATACAATATTTGTAATCATAAAAATAAGAAAGTTTAATTAAGATCCGGTCCAATTTGAGTCACAAATTAGCATTAGATTGTCCTTCATTTAACGAAAATAAAAACTCTTTAAAAAATATAAATCATTTGGAAATTTTCAATTTATTCTCCGTCCACAGTCAGCCAATGGGCAATAATGATTTTGAAATAATTGCAGGAAATTTATTCATTTCAATGCATAGGAAATGTGCAGTTTATTTTTCGTCAAAAATCTCCCCAATTTAAATTCTTTTTCCTTCAGAAAAAGCTCCCAACAAAATTGGTTCATTCGTGGCCAAATAGTTGGTTCAATGTCTCATCAGGCATTTATTTTCGAATCGTTGCAAATGAATATTGAAATCATGTACCGAAAATTGCCTGTGTGCGATTATCGGAGTTTTTGCAACTTTTCTTGGGATTAGGTTGCTACTTTGCACGAATTTGCACAGGTGCTGCATGGAAAACGTCTGACATCTCATTCCAAGCGCTGCGAATCCAGTGTCAAAAGTTGTGACTCAGATCGTTCATTGCTTACTGCAAACTTTTTTTTTATATTTGTTAAAGTACCCATATGTTTTCTGTGCGGTGGAACGAAGCCCGCCCCGTTGCACAGGCGAGATAGTGCACACAGCATTAGCGAGAGCAGTACAGCACACTGTACTGCTCTCGCTCTAACACACACTGCAATGCGTACGTACTAACTCAGCATAGAAGCGTAGTGCGCCAATATACTCACATACACTAGTACACAGTGTGTAAACTCAGTCGTTGTAACATGCGTACAACCTGTGCTTCTCTCCCATAAGAACCAATGTATTTGACGTGACAGTGAATAGCGGTAGCGCCTAAATAGGATCTGCGGCAACTTAAGGAACTATCAATACTTCTTGTTATTGCGAAATTCATGACAACAACAACAAGTATTGATAGTTCTTGAAAATTCCGCAAATTGCGAATAGACGCCACCGCTATCTTGCGCCGGTCAAAAGCACAGTTTGCATGCGTATAAGTGAGTTTGTGTATTGGCACTCTGCGCTCTAGGCTTCTACGTACGTATGCATTGCAGTGTGTGTTACAGCAAGAGCAGTACAGTGTGCTGTTCTGCTCTCGCTAATGCTGTGTGCACTATCTCGCCTGTGCAACGCAGCGGGCTTCGTTCCACCGCACAGAAAACATATGGGTAGACAAAAAAAACGTTCATGAGTGCGTCCAACGGCGTAAACGAATTGGAATAAGATTCACTGAATGAGCTCATCGCAAATTCGTGTTTTACTTTGTTTTGTTAGTGTTATGCATAGGTTACGCGAATTTGCTTCTTTTTCCATCGAAAGATAACATAAGCAGTGTTCAATTGTGTTCAATTGGACAATACCAAGTCTTTTCCTTGTTAAATGCTCAAATTATTCTATTATTCACACATGAACAGTGTAAATGACGATCGCTATTCGTTTCTTCATAAATTTGATTGTTGTTTGATTTGAATCAAGACTAAATTTATTGTGAATACAAACAACATGAATCTAATCATGTTTCGCCAACTTCCTTTTGACCGACTATTGCTAGTATAGTGCATAATATTAAACGCACACATTCATTTTTCATTGTTTTCTAATTCCGCGCGAAAAAAATTACATTAAGTCTTAATAGAAATGGATGCGTTTAGTATTATGGTATCTAGCGTTGCTTTGCCCAACTGCCCATTGACACGATACTAGCAATCGTCGCTTTTGACTGTTGAGTTCTTGTGGTTTAAGTGCATACGGATTGAATTGGAACATTAAATTGAAAATGATCTTACTAAAGGCACTATTTCCAAAGCTCACGATCGCTCACGATTGGAAATAGTGCCTTAAAATTTATTTCATCAATTTTAATTGTTAAAAATTCAATTTATTATGTTTAAATTTAGACGCATCCATGTGGATATACAAATACACAACTAGAGATTAAATTATGAAATGAAACTTATGGTTAGACGAATTACAATCCTCTATTTCTTCTGCACTTTCAGCTTTCCATTTTCTTCTCTCTTTTTTTGCATAACAAATCCATTTTGCATCGTTTAATACTTAATGAAAAATTGAATTGTATCCTAAACATTTGCCTTAATGTTGAGATGGAAAACTATTTCTGAAAAATTTCTAAAAACGTTGGAAAAAATTGACTTTATTAAAGCAAAGTGTTCAATTTACATTTTTATTATAAAAAGAATGATATGAAATGGCATTTTGAATGAGCTTGAAAGTATTGTTCGAATGGTATACAAGAAATATGAAATTCTTAAATAAAATGGTAGAAAATTATGTGAAAAAAGTGCATTTTTTCTCAACGGCAACACAATATTCATTCACAGTAAAAATATTCTTTAATTAACGAAGTAAGTTGATATTACTGCTAGTCCTATCTACTTGTGATTTATTCAGAGAACCTTGCGTTTTTTCGTTTGTGGACCTATTCTCTTTGCGTTTATGCTTCGATATCCTGATGGGTGGCACTCCCATTCGCTACTTAAGCCCGCCTGAAATTCATTACAAGTATCGGTATATGAAGTTGGTATAAAGAAATCAAATTCGTCCAGATTTCGGAACTGTGACATAAAGTGAATCGCTTCATTGGCTGATGTTTTGTAGCAAGAGATTTTTATATTCTTCAACAACGGTAGTGATTTCGCTATTTTCAACTGCTCCACAGCACTCAAACTGTTAGTTTGCAGTGTTAAATCTTGTATTCCAGGATATTTATCAATGAAACTGAAGAGTTCATCATTCAATCCAGTGGTAAATCTCATCTCTAACTTTTTAAGTTGGACAAATGAAAAGGGAATTCTCGCTGTACTATTACTATTAATAACAATTGCAAACTCTTTCACATTTTCCAAATATATTACACTATCAATTGAATTGGTGTATGTAGGTTCTCCATAAAATGATAATTTCTGAAGATTTCTCAGACCTTTGATCGCATTTCGAAAGTCAATGGAATCTAGAAGAGGATTTTCTGTGTAGAAACTTATTTTTTCCAGTTGTGGATTCACGCGTAAAATGGGAGCTAAAGTATCACCGCATATAGTTGACACACAAAGTGAAAAATGGAATATTTTTAAATTCGGAAAATGATTTGAAAATTTGGCAAAAATGTGCGGCTTAACTGAGTTTTCACCACCCCAAAATTCGACGATTAATTGTTGCATATTTGGAAATAATCTATTGATAATATCTTCATTATTAGCAACATAACAACCATGCAAAAGTAGGTATTGAACTTTAGAAAATGACTTCCGGAGATGTTCCCAACCCTTTAGACTATTACATATTTTGATATGGCTTAAAGAGTCAAAACAATATTCGTTTATGTAATTTAAAACATGTTGATCGTGTAAAGTTCCTTCTCCTGTTAATGATAAGATGATATTGGAAAACATATGCCCGAAACAGCGTATCAGTTGCAAACTGGACCTCAAGCTACGAATTTCGATCATATTTTTAGTTATTATAGTAAGTGGTTGATTTCGCGAAAAATATATTCCTTGAAAGTTTAACCATTTTTCTCTATATTTTCGACCGAAAATGAAGTTAGCTGCCTGGTTCAGTCGCTTGTTTGAACATGCCGCGTTCAGAAGATCCCCAAACTCCAAATACTCCAAGATATCCTCGAGACAGTCAATGTTAAGACCCGTTATCTTCATCCTTTCACTTTTTGATCCACCGATATTTCTCCAAAATTACAATTTATTTCACTAGTTTTTAAATAAATTTTCCGGAACGTCTTCACTTTTTGGGAGTCGCAATTTGTTTTTTCACAATTTCAATTTATTTCTTCTTTTAACTTAAGGATCGGTTGGTTGAGCAGACTTTTCGAATAGCAGGTATATTGTAAAGAACTGATTCGTTCTTTGTTTAATTTGATAGCTTCAACTGATTTCAATGTTTTGAATAAATCACTAGAGAGAATTTAAGCCAAGTTTCACCTTTGACAATCTGTGTACTACTGTGGCCAATGAAGATTTTGTTCGGTTATTTATGATGGACAACATTCAAACAAAAACATGCACAGTGCTGACATTCGTCTACGAAAAACACAGAAAATGAAGGTACTGCACTAATGTCTAATCACTCGGTCTGCAGGTAGAATGTGTTTTATCTCCGTTTATTGACATTTCATTTGAAAGACCTCCCTCGTAGTGAGCCCAACTCACATCTTTCTATTATCGTATGTTGTCGTAAGTAAGTACAACCAAATATGCAGTTGTTCGAATCATCCGTTTACCAGGAATAAGCAAACAAATATGACTGCATACCAACTGTTGATCAAGCCTTGTATTTGGCATATTTCTATGCTAGGATAGATATTCTATTTCAGTATAGCTGGTCGGCATGTGGCACACACAAACACATACTCTTGCATCTCGTTGTACACGGTCGTTCGTGTAAGAAAGATGCGCGCGCAAACATGTTCTCACAACAATACCGCTGCGCGAATACATGTTTACGCAAGCGTGTGTGTAATTACAAACCAAAACCATCAAATCCAACTGCTACGTGATGATTTAAACACCAAATTCCTTCAACTCTGAAAATATGAACTAAATCTGAAATCGATGCAGCAGAATATGAATGAGCAAATGTTTTTGAACGCGTTCTTTCACTGCAAAGCTATGCACTATGGTCCATCCAAATAATGAAGTTACAGAAGTAAACACACGGATAACAAATTTAGGAAAACTGTTTTTTATTTACTAAACTATATCCAACAATTGATTCGACTCTACGATTTTACCCAAGTTTCTTGAGTTAAAAAGGACATACAAAACAATTTCGTGCTTCGTTTCTATCACGTTTTCATAAGCATCCCTTGTTTCACTTTTTTTCTCTTTCCATTTTTTTATTTCATCAAGAGAAACTCCATTTTATTCTTATGACTTGTTTTGGTTTTTTCAAGTTATTTCTCCACGTTTTGATGAGAATGTTCTGTTTTTCCCATATGCTTTCCATGTTTATTTGAAGCTAGCTATTGCTGTACACTCGGCATTCAAATCCCTATTTTCAGTGGGCGCCGCTATGTAGAGACCATTTGCCTGTTGTAGCTGGAAATCTCGTTTCATTGAACAGTAGCTCAGAATTGCGATCACATATATCACCATATAAATTGCTGAAAATCGAGTAAATTCAGAAGATTGTCAGTATAAGATTGTCAGTTCTAATAAAAACGGCTGCGACGTGGAATAAAGTCGTTAGTGCTTCTAAATACCTGTGACTTCGAAAACTGCTATATGATACTCCACAATAATTCGATCAAATGTGTGATATTCATTGTATAATTCACGAGATAGAGCACACAAAAATGCAGCCAATGGCAGGAACCAACAAATGAGCGATGCAGCTAGGTATTTCCATTTGTTCTGTTGAAAGAAATGACAATTTATAACCAAATGTGTGCTAATATACGTTTCGTGTGGAATGGTGTAGGTAATTGATACCCAAAATGACACATTTGATTTTTAGAATAAGAAGAAAAGTAAAAAAAAAATCAAGCAATGAAACATTTCATTGAAATAATTGGATTATTGCTGTAAATTTGATATTTGTCTATCGATTTTTGGTTTTTAAAAAGCCAAATTCAATCATCAATCATACCTTAATCGCGCCACAGGCCCAGGTGATAGCGGCTGTGAGATGCAAAACTGCAGAAGAATCAAATCACCACCAAAATTTGTTTTATTTCTCAACAATTTGTTCATTTCTTTCTATATTATTCCGCTTGAATCGATTTCATTGAACATTTCCATAGAAAACATTTCAATTTGAAATTGACAAACTGATTTTTCATTCGTTTAGCAAAAATAAATGCAGAAAGAAACATAAATGCAGGAAAAAGTTACTCAAACTCACCAAAAACCAGCCGCTTTATCCAAATGTCGTGATGCTGAAATATCGGCGATGATCGAAGTAATAGCGACTGTGCAATGGAAAATGCCGTCAACAGCCACACAGCTGCCACACCGGCAATTTTCCAACCCAAATTCGTTGGCGGATTCTTTCGTTTTAACGGCGCTTTTATTGACACATAATTCAGTATGATGAACAAATAAACAACGAAGAAAAATACTGAAACGAAGGCAAGAGTTCATTTTCAATCGTCAAATATCTTGTGGAATTCAAGGAAACCACTCAGGAGTGAAGCAACAGAATTTGTTTGGCATATCTTTAAAGTTTGAATTTCAAACTTGCATTGAATGAAATTTTTTTAATTGAAATTGGATTTTGAGTCGGATTGTTTAATTCTACATGAATTTGGCTGTAAAATCACCTGTTAGCGCATAAATGACCACATCATTTGTGCCTTCTACAGCAATTAAACCGGGATATTGCTTCTCAAAGGCATTTTGCAGCACGATCAAGAATAAGTAACTCGTCCACAGTTCCAATTGTAGCCCCCAACAAACGATCGAAGCCATCATAAATTCGGTGCGATTCTATGGATGCAAGCTCGTTATTACAGAGATGTGCTCGTTATTGAATGTTTTGCAAGTTTTTCCGGTTAAAAATGAAAAATGATTGCAAATATGAACATTCTCCAGGAAAAGAATGGTTTGAATTAGTCCATCGAAGGTGTTAGATCCAGCAGATCATAACAAATCCGAGAACATTGAATTCAAAAGTAAATACCAAAACAGTATTTTTTCCGACTTTTCTTACGTACCGCGTCTAAACCATTAAACCAGAAGAACGCCGCCACCAGATTTGAAACTGAATCATAAAAATAAAGAGAGAAAGTCATTAAGGCCCAATCAGAATGCTTTGTGAACAGAAAAAATAAGAGGATTATTCTTTTAATGTGTTTTTTACACATTTTCTCGAACTTTTCGCTTAAAACGTTTGACGAATGTGATAAATTCGTTATGTCTAGTCATAATTAGATCGAGATTCATTTTTAAGCCGAAAAAGGTGATAAAATCCATCTTTTTAGTGTGAAAAAGAAGATTAAAACCCAAATATTCGCTTCGAATTAAAAAAAAAAGGTACTTAAGCCTAGAGCAAACCGTCTCACACAGGTGTTTAAACTTACAAAAGATCAGCACAGCAAAAATTAATCGCACTCCTAATGTCATAAAGACAAATCCAAAGAATGCCACCAGTCCAAAGCTGAAGGCAATGCCCAGACAGGCAATTACTTTACTCGAAATTTTCGGGCAAAAATTCGATCGTTCGTTGTCCATTTTGAGTTGGTTTGAAACGTAGTTTAAAAACAAATTGACGATATTGATTTGGAATACAAGACACGTTTCGAACGCAGTGGCCTTGATGTCGTGCCGAAATACAATGGTTCTTATTTAATTGTTCTCAATGCCGGTGACACTCCCTTCGTTCGAATTATTTGTAGAGTTTTTCGAATAAAACTGCCGCTTCCTTTGTTCATCCAATCTGAAAAGGCCCTTTGTGTTTTTGAGCTATAGTTCAAATATACACGAGTTTAACAATATTTGCTCCAAAGTATCAAAACTCAATCACACAGAATCAAAACACTGTGGCTGCGCCAACTGATTTTACAAAACTGTACGCAGACGCAATCTTCGCATCGGCCGGAACCAGTTTTGATTCGGTTTACAAACAAGTGCTGCGTGTATGCGTTAATATACACTAGTGTTCAATGCACACGTATGTCTTGAGCTCAAAGCGACGTAAACAATACACGATCATACATGTTTATGTAATATCACTGTATCTAATACACACTCGATCGCATGGTCCAGTGAACCTTTCTGAATGTAAACAATAGCGTTTGAATGTAGTATTGTTAGCGTGTTTCAATGTATTTGAAATGAGATGAATCGTCTGTCATACAATCGCATATGTATTCTATAGAGTACAGTCGTGTCTCGATAACTTCATGAACTCTTATGTGCGGTTTGTGTGTGTGTTTTTTTTTGTAAAATTAACTCATATTCTGAGTTTGATATCACTATCTCGTACGCATCAAGAGCGAAAGAGAGATAGATTTACAATTTTACACATTCGACAGGATTTCTTAGTAAGACAAAGCCTTAACTTTAGATCTAATGATTGTCAAAATAAACCGATTTAATTTTTTTTCTTTGCATCGCAAATGTTGAAACAGCTGGAAAGAAAGAATTGAAAGACACTTTCATATAATACTTTATTTGGTTTGTATTTTTACCATTATAAATAACCGAGAAAAGGCTACAGTGAACACAGTGATAAACAGATCGTCCAAGGTGAAACTTGACTTGATTTCTCTCTAGTGATTTATTCGAAAGTTTGTAATCAGTTGAATCTGTTCGATTCTAATAAAAAAGAGAAATCTTTTTTTATCCTCATTCCTATAAAATAACAATCAATTTCATTTCAGAAATATTCTTCAGCGTAAAGAGGAAAATATTAATTGTGAAATAAAGTTCGAATTGCAAAAAGTATAACCGTTTTGAGAAAAAAAATCAATTGTAATTTTGGAGAAATATCGGTGGATCAAAAATTGGAAGGATGAAACTAACGGTACTGAACGTTGACTGTCTCGAGAATATCTTGGAGTATTTGGAGTTTGGTGATCTTCTGAGCACAGCAAGTTCGAACAAGCGACTGAAACATGCGGCTAACTTCGTTTTCGATCGAAAATAT